GCAAATCCATCGAAGAAAACTCTGAGGGTAATTATTTACATTGACACTATCTTTATCGCCTGAATCTTCGTCATCATTATCGTTCGTGATCATTATTAGCGGTCATCTGATAAGACAGCAGTAGAAAAATACCAAGATTGCTTTATGTTTGCTGAAATTGTCAAATTTTTCATGATTTGTGGCAATATAGTGAAGCATCAATAGCCTAAAACAAATAAAAATAATAAAAATAAATTATATTTTCTGGCATAATTTGCTCATGCATAGACCTACTGTACCTTATACGGTACACCTATTTTAGACTGGAATAAACCGTATAAAAATAATCTCAATAATATTTTATTAGTAGTCATGATATCTATTGTACCCTATTTTTGAAATAAAATTGATAAATAACATGATTTACCATAAATAATAAGAAATATACCTTCGTGAATACATTGTGAATATTTTTTTTATTTTTTGTCGAGGGATTTTATAAATATTTTCGAAACCACTTGTTAAAACATATTTTTACATATTTTTATGTAAAATAATCATTTTAAGCTTACTGTCACCATCATTTTTAGAAATTAACGACAGTTTGGTACTTCAAAATATTTTCAAAAAGATACTGTACCACATAGGGTACGGTAGGTCTAAATGGGTTAATGGCAGGTTGAACCAACAAGAAGGTTTTAGTTTATCAATCATAATAATCTTCTTGACAAGATAAATCGTCAAACAACTTTGATCTGAATAATTTTGAACTTTACTGACTAACAGTTAAAGATTATTTTCTCTAATTTGAGATTATTCTGTAACATAGTTTCAAAAGGTAATATGTGCTCGCGATTCGTTGAAGGAATCAATTTGAAAACTGACGAACCTTTTCATTCCGCGACTGTACTTAGCGAAGGCTGTTCAATCAACGAAGGGCTCTCGCCTTATAACGCGAGAGAAAACACGACGATTTCTCTTTTTACAGTTAGTAGTGGCTCATTAGAACTGGAAAACTTTCGAGATAAAAAAAAAAACTTTAATCTCAAAAGGTTGCCGAATATCAACCCTATTACTAAGCTAGTAGTACTCGCTTTTAATAATCGTGAAGTCGAAACGCTATAAAAACGCGCGATTTTACGAAAACATCTCAGCAACCTTGTAGCATTTATAGGGTACTAGCTTTCCGCCCGCGGCTTCGCCCGCGTGGAATTTTGTCTGTCACAGAAAAACTTTATCGCGCGCGTCCCTGTTTCAAAAACCGGGATAAAAACTATCCTATGTTCTTTCCCGGGACTCAAACTATCTCTATGCCAAATTTCATCAAAATCGGTTGCGAGGTTTAAGCGGGAAAGCGTAACAGACAGACAGACAGACAGACAGACAGACAGACAGACAGAGTTACTTTCGCATTTATAATATTAGTTGGGATAGTTGGGATTGCGAAATAAGGATCGTTGTTAGCAATCTTTAGTATAAAAAAAGATTGAATACTTTTTACACAACAACTCATGGTAATCTGTATTTTGCAATGAAAACGCGCGAAACTCTTATCACAATGGTTTGGATTTTACGCGGTTTTTTTTCCTGAAACGCGCGTAACAAGCAACAACAACAACCTGAAAACTGATTGCTTACCTGCAAATGGAACTTCGATTCGAAGTTAAGATCTTCCTTCTTAACAGTATACAGGTCTATCTCTTTTAATAAACACGAATTTGTTACTACCTGAAAAGATAAAACATGAACTGTGAGAAAATAACTCAAGCATCAAATAAAAGTAGTAAACTTATTATTATTTTAAGTATTTTAACCAACAACAACTATCTTATCTTCTGAAACAAATTGTATACTAAATTATATCTCCATTAATATCCTATTAAAATGAGTAGTTTAATCAGAATAATGCACTGACTTGTTTAGCATCCACAACGTCCACAAGAGGCTCGGAGATGGCAACTTTCCTAATAGACGACATGTCGAAACCATACACATCATCCCACCAGTTGATCTTTTCATCCTTGTACTGGCGGTCCTCAATGCCGCATATGAACAACGTACATCTGAAAACAAAAACATTAAATTTGTGAATTCTAGGAAACTACGCTAAATAGTATTGCATGATGTCAATTGAAGAACTTGTGATTTCTTGTGGTGATAATTTGGTTGAAGCTGTAAGTACTCAAATGAATTAATACCTTCAAGGGCAGTATAAAATATAAATAGCTCTGATATTTACGTTTACACTCACTACTTGTTTACATGTTATGTTTGTAGAATTGTTAAACTTTGTTGTTTCCTACTATGAAATCACGCAAATGTAATAGTTTGTTTGTTATTAACATGCAGCTGTGGTTCTCGAATGGCCTCCACTAAGTGGACCGACGATCTGGTGATCAAGGTCGCGGGAAGTACCTGGATGCAGGCAGTGCAGGATCGGTTGCTATGGAAATGTTTGGGGCAGGCCTTTGTCCAGCACAGTACGTCATTTGGCTGAAACGAACAAACGTTACTCACCTGTCAGGGAAAAGCATGCCATCAGGCTTCAGCCACTTATCCCGCGCGTAGAGGACGGTGTCCAGCATGCTTTCGTAAAACAGGCAGTAGCCCATCCACTCAGAGATGATGATGTCCACACCCTCGACAGGCAACTCCACTTCTTCCACCTATGAGGTAAAAGACCATAGATTAGATATTGATAAAGAGATAAAAATCTTTTTGAAGGGACCATCTGTTCATTACAGAACTACACTTCTTCTTTTTTGGGTTAAAAATGTGGAAATATCTGTGATCTAGGGTGATTCAACCTTTGAGGAAAAAGACCATAAAGATATTAGAGGGATGAAATCTTTTTGAGAGACCATCTGCACAATACAGAACTACACATCTTTTTCTTCTTTGGGTTAAAAATGTGAAAATATCATGTGGCCAAAGGCTAAATCTTTGCTATTATGTAAAATGTACTTAATTTACTCTGAAAAATCATCTGTTTGTTGATACAAAATTAACAGACTATTACATTTAGAGTAAAGAAGAAAATCAGGCACAACAACAATTACTATAGTGTAAATAATAAAAGAATGAGTAAACAAACATTTAAATAAATTCTTACCTTTCCCTTGATAATTTCAATAACATCATCGAGCCGGTTAGCCTCAACAATCTTTCTTGCGTAATCAACTATGTTGGAGCACTCAATGGCAATCACTTTGGCAGCCCCAGCCTTGGCCGCAAACATGGAGAGGATACCCGTGCCACAGCCTATGTCTAGAACCGTCTAGAAGCAAATAATAATCATAAACATATTATTGAAATAAAAACTAAAACATCTTTGTAAGATGTGAAAATGATGCTGAATTCTTAAGTCAACTTATATTTTATAGCATCACAACAACAATGGAGACCCAAGCTTATAATATTGACACAACACTAGATCATTGATCAGTTTTTCCCATGACTAGGGAGAAACTATAGGTAAAACTTACTTTGCCCTTGAAAAGATGCTTATTGTGGTACATAGCATTCCTATAAGTGAGGGTGCGGACTTCGTCTTTTAGCATTTCCTCGTGGATGCCGAAGTGGGCGTACGAGTCGAAATAATAGTCCCTGGACGTCATCTCCTCGGCTGTGACGTTTTTGTCAGGCCCTAAAACCAATGGCCACGAAATTAACACCAAAAAACGACGCTAAAAGAAACACGTTTTCAGCACAAAGTAACGCCCGGCATTGTAAGCGCTTTGTTCAAAAACTCACCATTTTCAACCACTGGCGTCGTTGCAGCTGATGTCCCTTCTTGTGCGACATCCATGCTTTCCATTTCAAATCAATATGAACCAAAAATAGTATAAAAATATAATTAATGCTATATAACCTGAAACTTTGTAACGCGAATCGATCTGTCAAACGAATTAAAACTAACGATTTTAATTCTAATCAAACAATTGGACTTACTTTGCACTATTATTACACTTAATATGAATTTAAAATGATAAATATATCACAATTTAATTGGTTTTACGCGTTTTCCACAAAACGCCGAAAAATGCTTGAAACAAGCTTTTCCGCAAAAATTGAAAGACAAAAACGAGGTTGCCAGACGGGAAAAAAATAAAATAACGTAAAAAAACTGTTGTTGCATTGCATAAATGCACTACATTCAGTATGTAAGTTTTTAAACTACACGAATTTATTTCCGTTCTTTGTAATAATAGTTAAATAAATCAATTACCTATTATTGGATAAAATTATAAATTAAAATATACTAAACACAATTTAAATTTTTAAGCAGGCAACTCACATATTAGTGTTGTTTAAAGAAGATAAATCAAGAAATACAATACTCGACAAATGAGTTTCAATCGATACAAAAAGCAATAATGTAAATTTAATCATGCTATTAAATTAAGTACTGTTTTTGTTCATTTAAAGGACTTAAAATTATTTAAACATTATCACCCAGCAATCCCAGCATATTCTATCAATATAATTAATCTTATTGAGAAACAACATGAGGACAGATTTTACCATTATTTCAAACATGTTTTACAGTTACAGTACTTACAGTTAATAAACTTTTGGACTTTTACAAACTTTATATAATATTGCCCTGTATCTTTTTTTTTAATTAAACAATGAAAGAAGTTTGGTTTTTAATAATTTAGACTGATTGTTAATTAAATCACAATTAAGTTTAGAAAAATCTAAAGACGCGGGCAAAGCTATTATAATAATATTAAAGTCTCACAGAAAGAAAGTAAGTAAAAGTAGAGAGCAATTTGACATTGTTAATGTATGTTAAATACATCAAACAGAGCGTGGATTAAATAATTAACTAATTAATAGAAGATTATTTTGTCTAGTACACACAATGCTTGCGATGAATGCCGGCTATTAACATTATGACATATTAAAGAATATTATCAACCTATTTGAATGGGGCTAACTATGAATTAGCTGAGTTTGCACCACGTGCCTTTCTCGTAATAGTAGAGGCGTGTAATCTTATCATAGTCAGCCGCATTTGTTGATATGAACGTGACAGACAGACGCGTTAGTCAACAACTTACTGGAACTCACAGTATTGTGTGAGCATTGGGGCTTCACGAACGCGTATCCACTTTATTTGCTCCAATGTTCCGAGTGCGCGAACATCGAACAAAATAAAACAAACATAAAGAACAAATAATCGCCGTCACATTAATTTAATTTTTAAGTGAATAGTGGAAGAGCATTGTACTCTTAATTTCGAAGACTCTTTTGTTGAAACAAGGTACAGTTGTATTTACTTATTCAAATTATTACCGTGTTAATAGGAGTAATAAATACTTGTCCTTTTAATATTTTTGGTGCTTAAATTAGTTAAATACGTCAAACTTCGGTACTAAAAGTAATCAATGATAATTAACATTATTAACTGTGTTTAGTAAGTTTATCTCGCTCAGTTGTTGACTGGTAGAGTATGTAGAGTGCAGTTTTATTATAATGCATGCACTTGATGCACTGATGCTTCTGCAACAGAATTTTCACCTAATTTTTAACTTTTTGGCTCCGTGAGATTACTAACATGATTTTTATTTACATTCAGTAGGTAAGTTATACTATTATGTAGTTAGTTATAGATCCGTTTTTCCGTTTATTGAATAGGCTTAAATACAAAACCAAATAAAATTAACCAAGCCTTTCTCAATTTTCCTTTAACCTACTGAAGTACATTATTTTAATATTAAACAGATTTAAAGGGAAACAAACTTCAAATACATAATTCATAATGCCGGTCTTAATGCAATCTTTTTATTGGCCTTGAGCTACAGCCACTATCGAAATCGTCGCAGTGAAAGCTTAGGTGTGTTAACTCTGCATTTTTATTTGATAAAACATTTAAAAGGCGGCCTTATTTTTAGTGATATTAGTAATACTAATTCCAATTTCTTATCATTACCTACCCGGTAACAAGCTATCGAAGTTCAGTTCCTGAGCGGATTCTGAAAATACCTATTGGGAGCTACATAATATTTTGAAAATCTGAAATATTGATAAGGGATTACATTAATGATAATACTGTGGAATTGACATGAATAATGTTATATCATATTTTTTAATACCTATTATGAATTATTTTTAAAAACGCTAAACTATAACAGGTCCTATAATAATAATAATAAGAATAATAAAGGCGTGCAAATATGCAATAGCCATCCTCCTACACCACCAACTAACTTCAATGTTACGGATGAAACACAAAAGCTTTATTTTTTTTTACATTTATCAAAATAAATGTGTGTTGGGTTCGATGAAAGATTCCATTTCCAAGAAATCAGTGATCACATGCTGCGTACCCATATCAAATAAATTCAGAAGTCAAATAAACGAACTTGCTTAGCGTGATATATTTTTGGAATTTGTCCGTCGAATATTTGAACATGCAATTTTATTGCTTGTCAAGACTCAGCAGTTAATATTTTGTGAAACAAAGAAAAGGAGTAAAAATAAACATCAGTGTACCTAATGCATGACTCGTTATTTTACTTGTATATCGTGCGTGAGTGCAGGATGCAGATCCCTTGTGTTGCACAAATGTGTTATTTTTTTTTATTCGGCGCGTTTTACGTCATGTGTGTTTATTTACGACAGCTTTAGCTTGGAGATTTTTTGCACGAGCACAATAAAACACAGTTTGTAGACAACTTTTTAGATTGTCAAAAGCAAAATAATTTAAGTAATTATGCAGATGGACATAACAAATAGGTCATTTAACTTCCTCTTATTTTTTATATTGGCTGAGGTTTACGGACTATAGATTGTGTACTACTACTAGTAATACTTATTTAATTACCACACCTTTCCAATTCTATTAGTGTTTCTTAGAGGTTGGGCACGGTAAGCAATAACTCAGTCTAAGCATTCTTGGAATAAATTGCATTGGATTTTATGAGTCTGGAGTTGTTTACGTAAACATTTTAAATAATACCTACTTACAAAAGTACCTATTGAGAAGGTAAAGTAGATATGTAGCAGAACTTATTCTGTGGTATTGATCGTGAGTTCGTGATGTGCTGGCTAACGTTGTGTAATTTTTTTTTACGCACATAATGCGTTTAATATTTTTAACACCATTTATTGCGTGCAAGATAACTGTGTGTGCTATAACAATCAAGTAAGTAGCGTAGGAGTTATAAGTATACGCTTTACTCATAATTATTTTTCATGAGGCCAATTAACGATATTGTAAATAAAATATACTAATTTAATAAAATCGGTAATAATTATTAATAAACGCAAAAATTACTAGAAATAACACAAAATAAATAATGTATAGGTAAACTTAAATGAGTAATAATTAGGTAGGTACTTATCCTGTTTATAGCATTTACAAACCTATATTAAAACAAAGTCGTAGGTTTCGTTGACCTAAATATTATTTATATTAGGTACCTACATTAATCGGTTTCATTTGTTTTTATTTGCTTCCATTCTTTGTACCTACTTTATTATCTTAATCGTACAGTTTACGGAAATTGGATAATAATGTAGCGTGGTTAAGAGGCCGACTATTAGGGTCGCTTCTTTCTTGATTGGCGTAAGTGGCTAGTTCATCCTTTTATTCGGCAATGAGTATGAAGAAGTCTCCCGTGACCTTTCGGTCGCGTCCTTTCGTTCGTTCGTTTCAGCCAAATGACGTCCACTGCTGGACAAAGGCCTCCTCCAAGGCTTTCCACAATGCACGGTCCTGCGCTGCCCGCATCCAGGCTCTTCCCGCGACCTTTACGAGATCGTCGGTCCACCTAGTAGGAGGCCTGCCCACGCTACGTCTTCCAGCCCGTGGTCGCCACTCGAGAACTTTTCTGCCCCAACGGCCATCGTCTCTACGAGCTATGTGCCCCGCCCACTGCCACTTGGTTTTAGCAATTCTGCGAGCTATGTCGGTCACTTTGGTTCTCCTGCGGATCTCCGAACAGTCCAGTTAGGTAGGGCCAACTTCGAGAAAGAGGTCAATCGTCGAATCCAACTCGGCTGGGCAGCGTTCGGGAAGCTACGCAATATACTCACGTCCGAAATACCGCAGTGTCTCAAGACAAAAGTCTTCGAGCAGTGTGTGCTGCCAGTGTTGATTTATGGATCCGAAACGTGGACGCTTACTATGGGCCTCATAAGAAGGCTCAAGGTCACCCAAAGGGCGATGGAGCGGGCCATGCTTGGAGTTTCCCTGCGTGATCGAATCAGAAATGAGGAGATCCGCAGGAGAACCAAAGTGACCGACATAGCTCGCAGAATTGCTAAAACCAAGTGGCAGTGGGCGGGGCACATAGCTCGCGTCCTTTACTGTACTACATTCACACGGACGGGACGTAAGTAAGGCCCAAGTTCATTCACCGCTAACTCGATTATGCTGCACCGGTCTTCCATTCTTAAGGAGGAATTTATATTACCTTCTCGAGTTCAGCCCATTGTTGAACCAATGACCGTAAATGTATGGTTCGTACAAAAAAATGAGTCCCCAATCACCATCCACGGCTAAAGTATTTAAATACATTACTGATTGTCGCCTTTGAATATAATTTATTTATTTATAGGTAGTAACAGTTACAGTTATACCTACTTTAAAATGCCACTTACATATTTAGAAAAAATACGGCTGCAAATTACCTACAAATACCTATGTGAACCAGTTACCTACAACTGCTAATTAATAATAATTAATAAATTTATAGGTAGTTAATTATCAAATTACGTACCTACCTAACAATAACACTAGGTAGGTACTTACGTACGTATTTTACTAGTAGGTACCTATTTATTTCGGATAAGTAGTTTAAAGTATTTTTAAATTGTTAATAATTAAATAAATTCTATGAAATAAATCATCATAACTGTCAGTCTGTCAACACTTATAGGGTAACTAAGAATAAAATTGATATCATAATAGTATCAAGAATTATCATTAAATACAAATAAGCTAGAATAAGTATCTTTATTTACTTTAGGTAGGTATTATTCCGTGCCTATACATACCTACTTATATTATATTGTGTTTGTTACAGTTGAGTAAAGAAGACTTTGTGAAGATGACTGAAAAGGAAAAATGTGAAATTGACAATGAAATAGGACAAATACAGGGAAGCGCAGTGAAGTTAAAAAGAGAATTAGGACTCTTTTCCGCCGTCAATTTGATTCTGGGAGTAATGATTGGTTCGGGAATATTCGTATCCCCAGCATCTGCCCTGGAACACTCAGGCTCGGTGGCATTATGTCTCATAATATGGACTGTATCAGGAATAATATCATTACTAGGTGGGTGTAGGTAAGATGCCTAAATACCTACTTAATCATTGTAATTGCTTCAATATTTACATTATTTTTTTACAATCTGTTAAATGTTTTGTCTTTATTTTTAGGAGCTTTATCATTTGCTGAATTGGGCACAGTAGTTGGGAAATCAGGAGCTGAATATGCATATTTTCAAGAGGCATTTGGAAATACTCACAAGTACTGGGGACCATTACCGTCATTCATCTGTGCTTGGATATACGTCGTCATATTGAGACCCGCTGAAGTCGCTATTATAGTAATGACTTTCGCAGAGTATGCGATTCAACCATTTTCTGCAGATTTACAAGCAGATTATAAGGACACAGCTATAAAATTAGCATCCCTCACCGCTCTTTGTAAGTATCAACTTGTAATAAACATTTAACAGAGTCCAATTATTGGCCTTACATTATTCTTAACTAGCGGCCGCCCGCGACTTCGTACGCGTGGATCCCGTTTTACCCCCTTCATCTATCTTACGCGGTTTAGATTTTTTCATACATTTTTTTTCCCGCTAACTCCCGTTCCGGTGGGAATTTTGCAATATCCTGTTGTAACTAAGCTTTATGTTTACTAAGGTACCTGCATGCCAAATTTCAAGCGTCTATATTACGCGGTTTAGATTTTTTCATACATATGTGTTTTCCCGGTAACTCCCGTTCCCGTGGGAATTTTGCAATATCCTGTTGTAACTAAGCTTTAAGTTTACTAAGGTACCTGCATGCCAAATTTCAAGCGTCCAACTTAAGCGGTTTAGTTTTTTCATACAAAAGGATTTTCCCGCTAATTCCCGTTCCCGTGGGAATTCTTAAGTATCCTATAACCTGCCCAGGAGTATGAAGAATAATTGTACCAAGTTTCGTTAAAATCCGTTGAGTAGTTTTTGTTTCTATAAGGAACATACAGACAGACAGACAGACAGACAGACAGACAGACAGACAAAAATTTTACTGATTACATTTTTGGCATCAGTATCGATCACTAATCACCCCCTGATAGTTATTTTGAAAATATATTTCATGTACAGAATTGACCTCTCTACAGATTTATTATAAGTATAGATAATGATTACATTCGATAGCAAATGTTTATAGAACGAAATGGTTAAACTTCATAATTAAATAGAAAAGGATACCCAATAAAAATAAAAATAATAAGTTTGAAATCAATTATAAATCGATTATCGATTAATCAGTAAAGTTAACATCCCTACGGTCGGATGTCAGCAGCTGTCAACTTCAAGTGTCAATGTCAAATTTTGAAAATAAACTGACTGAATTGTGAACGTGAATGTTTGTTTATTTTTCTTTTATTCTTCCTATTAAATAAACTAAAGTGAAACCAAAATTGTGTTTGCAAGAGTGTTATCAGTGTATTTGCTAAATAAAAAACTCTGTGCTATATTCCTTTGTGTGTTCAGTCATACTTCTCAGATCACGGGTAAGTAAAAATTTCCAAGTATTCTCCTCTTTCTAAAACAAACACAAATTAAATTATGTTTTCGTTACAGAACTATTAAAATGTCTAATGAACGCAACACAGAGATGCAAGAGTCTCTTAGGCGTGAAGTAAATTTATTGCAGAAACGTTGCGTTGAGGCATGCAATATTATTGAAAATACTCCAACACATACTGAGCTTATTACCCCAGATAACGTGGGAGAAAAAACTCTTTGCTACATCGAGGGAGTACGGACAGATATAGATAATTCCAACACTCCTATAGTGACTGATGATAATCTACTAACTAGCCAATTTCTGAATGAAATCAAGCACAGAACTTTAGAAGTTGAGGAACTAGTAGCATATACCAGAGGTTCTATTCATGATGTTGAGAATGAAATCAACAGGTAAGGTCCTTAAAAATGTTACCTTAATATCTGTGTAATATGTACTATAATACTTTGATTAACTTACATTTTTATGTTTGTAGACTTAATTCGCTCATCAAAACCTCACAAGAAGCAAAGTCCAGACCGCGTGTTCAGATACAAGCAGTGCAACCTCCGCACGTTGAAAAGGCCAAAGAGAGATTTCTGACTATGAAAAATGAACTGCACGGCCTCATAAACTCGTTGTTTCCCAATCATGCTGAACTGATCACTGATGTTTTGGGGGTAATTCATTTATTTCAGTTATTTTACTAAATATTTTCAAGTTGACATTATTATGCTCAAAGTTATAATAGTGTAGCTGGCAGACAACTAATCCATATTTATACTAACTAGCCAAAATGAGAAATTAAACATTCAATAGTGTCTATTTTAAAGTAAATCTAAAGAATGAATAACTATTTTTTTTTTAAATTTTAACATAAATTATTTAAACATACATAATTTTTTTGTTACAGCAACTAATGCAACAAAAGTTAAACGAAGCATCGAGTGATTACATACCAATTACATCAGAGAACTACCAAGTTGTAGAGCTGCTGAAAGACATAAACCTTGTCACCGCCAACCCTTATAACAATACCGAAGTGAAACTAGCTTATTAGACTTGCTATAAATATGTTATAATTCTATTTTGTTATGTATAAAATATACTGTAAGCAAAAACTAATTGTTTTTTACTGTACCATTAACCTTATACTGTGTTATTTTGACTTATGTGTGACATTGCTTATCAATTTACATAAAACCATTTGTTGATTGTTTAGTTCTCATTGTAGTTAAATACATAATGTGCATAGGACTGATGAATATTTTCATCTGGAGGAATTTATTGTGTACTAGTATTTACTTGATAGAGTCTAGTTATTATCATAGAATTGTCAACACAGGATTTTCTTGTTCACTACATTGTCTTGAAGCAGTGAAGTTATAATGGAATCTAATGGAATATGCAAATAGGTACTTAAACAATCTTAATGAAAAAAAATGTATTTCATTTTCATCAAATATGAGTACTACTAGCTTTTGCCCGCGGCTTCACCTGCGTGAAATTTAGTTTGTCACAGTTCGTCATAAATTATAGCCTATGTTATTCTGGGTTATAAACAATAATAATGTAAAGTTTCATAAAAATCCGTTTAGTAACTATAATTTATGCTGATCTGTGACACTAAATTTCACGCGGGTGAAGCCGCGGGAAAAGGCTAGTTTATAATATTAGTAGGATAATGGCACAACACCATACTAAATACTAATGTGTTTGTGTTTAATGTGATACCTAAGACAGGTAGGTAATGTATCGACGACAGCGCATCAAGGTAACCACTGGCATCTGATGTAATGTAGCAATAATAAAGATGCAACTTTGCATCAAATGTGCTAACTCTAGACACTTCTAAAAATCTAAGAAAAAAATGTTTGAAACTTCAAATCCAGTAACCTACCTTGAATTACAGTTAATTGATAAATTAACTAGAGTGCATTAAATTAACGCTATCCGCTTGTTTCAGTTGTGATGACGTACATCAACATAACCAGCGTGAAGTTGTTTGTAAAGGTGCAGAACATTTTCGGCGTGTGCAAGGTCTTCGCCTGCCTTATAGTGATCGGGGGCGGCATTTACGAGATATGCAAGGGTATGTTTTATTTGATGCTTTCCACCCGCAGCTTCGCCCGCGTGGAATTTTGACTGTCATAAAAAAACGTTATCGCGCGCGTCCCTGTTTCAAAAACCGGGATAAAAACTATCCTATGTCCTTTCCCGGGAATCAAACTACCTCTATGCCAAATTTCATCAAAATCGGTTCAGTGGTTTAGGCGTGAAAGCGACACAGACAGAGTTACTTTTATATTTATAATATTAGTACAGACTTGGTTTCAATTCAGTGGACCTTACGCCGTTAAGGCCGGGTAACAGTGAAAATGGCGAAAATGAGGTTTTCATTTTTCATTTTTGAGGTACTAAACAGTAAAATAAAAGGCTAAGATTTTTTTTGGGCATAGTTGAGGATATTTTCTAGGGCTATTAACGGATGGAAACACGATTTGATGAAGTTGACTCGATAGAATAAATTCCCAAAGTTACCTCTATTCGTTTTCTAATAATGGTTTTATTTTTAAAATAAGCGATTTGAGATTCTGAATCTTTTACTAAACTAAAGTTTAGAAATAACTTGAGGGCTTTTAACGGATGAAATTTTTATATTGCGTCTTATTTAGTTACTATGTTAAAAAATGTGGAAAAAATCGCCCATGACGGCTTGGACAATCTCAATCAGTCGCGCGGTGGCGCTTACGGAGGACGGACGCGTGCCAGTTTTTTGGCCGTGACAGTTCTCGATTTGTCAATATTTTTGACAATGATGACTTTGATGAGTCACAGTATAATAATACCAGTGTTACTGGAGAAAGCTAAAATTTTTGATAATTAAGAATTCTGAATTTTGTCTACCTATTGAAATTTAAATCGTTGGCATCCTTTTAAACTAAGACTCTACTCATGATACATTCCTCAAATATGAGACAAAACCAATGAGTTAAAATTACATTTTAATAGTACCTACATACAATCGTCTTCACTCTTTAGAAGAGCACACTGACACAAATAAATAATAAAAAATTAGGTCAGTGGGTCAAATATAGGGGCAGCTGCACGTCACTGAAAGACGATTCTGTTTACTCGGCATCTGGGCTGAAGAACATGAATCCTTGCTTACAAATGCAGATGTAAATAGAGTTATAATTGGACAAATTTTACATGAAATGTTAACAGTACCTCTAGTACGAAAAACTTTCGAGTTCGTTTCGTTGCGTATTCAAAGTGTCATCGAAAAATTTTGTATGAAAAATTAAACAGCGCCCCCTATATTATAGCCGCCCTAGGGGGCGCTGTTTAATTTTTCATACAAAATTTTTCGATGACACTTTGAATACGCAACGAAACGAACTCGAAAGTTTTTCGTACTAGAGGTACAGAACTCAGTTAAAAGACACCTACATGGAATACCAATAAGGTTGCGGAGGGAAAGCTACCTATTATAAACTAGCGGCCGCCCGCGACTTCATTCGCGTGGACCTCGTTTTACCCCCGTTAGATATGATGTTTTACCTCATTTTACCCATGTTGATAGATGGCGTTTCACGGTTTCCCCCGAATGAATATTTACGAACGTCATACCGTAGTTTGTCCAGTGCTGTAGATTTTAACCAATGACGATAGATGGCGCTTTTAGACACGTCTTATTTATTTATTGAAATTTATTTGCCACATATCGTCATAATGTTAATCTGGGTTATAAACAATAATACTGTAAAGTTTCAACAAAATCCGTTCAGTAGTTTTTGCGTGAAAGAGTAACAAACATCCAGACATCATGACATCCAGACATCCAAACTTTCGCCTTTATAATATTAGTAGGATATTTCACAATCCAAACTAATATTTACTATTTAGCATTTACTTACAGTAAATATTAGTTTGGATCGTGAAATATTTAAAATAAAAAAAAGAATAAAACAAAATAGGGTTTCAAATTACCTATCTATAATCTAATATTATAAAGAGGTAAAGTTTGTGTGTTTGTATATTTGTTAAATTGTAAGGGGTAATCTCGGGATCTACTGAACTGATTTTAAAAAATCTTTCACCAATAGAAAGCCACATTATATCTGAGTGTAATAAGTTATATAAAAACCAAAAAATTCCACGCGGGCGAAGCGGCGGGCGGAAAGCTAGTTTATTTATAATTATGTAAGAGCATAATTATTAAAGTCGAAGTCAAACATTCTTTATTTGTGTGGACCTATATTAACGAGAGATTACAAGAGATTACAAGGCGTCAAATATTTCAAGAAAAAAATTAAAAACTATTATAAAGCTAAATTTTGCTCTCATGGAGCCTTTACCTACTCTGACAAATTAAGACTTAGAGAAGAAACTAATAATAAAACTATTTAACTGTCCTGCAATGAAAAGCTTGATCGGGTACAACACCTCAAGTTATTTCAGAACTTGATTTCATTAAAAGACTCCGAATATCAAATCGCTTAGGTATCTAAAGTCAAACGATTCTGAAATGTCAAGTGGACTAATGAATAACCCATTAAGATAGTAGCGCCCTCCTGTCAATGACATACCTGGAACGATAGAGTTTTGAACAACTAATAAAAATGCTTTGTCCTAAATGACTGACGGATATCGTAGAGACCTGAAAGTTGGAAGGTGTGTTCTTTTTATGACGTAGGCATCTCATAAGAAAAGATTTTCCGAAATGGGGTCATGAAATGAAGGGGGTGAAAAAAGGGGGCAAAGTTTGTATGGGACAAAGTGATTCCTTGGTTCAATCTACTTGAAATTTAGTTTAACAATACCTTAATATAATTCATGAAAGACGTGTGGAACGGGTAGAAAGTAATTTTGGCAGTCATTTTCTTCGAAGTTGATATCAATACTACTTAGTGCCTTTGATTTAATTACTTTTTATTTTTACAAGTGTTTGAAAACTCCATTTCAGATTGTGTTCAATGTCAAGTGAAATCTCAAATTGAAATGTCTCAATCTCAATGAGGAGACTCTGTATTTATTCCTAGAATTCCCCAAACACCGTCAAATTACCCTTTCGAATTCAAGACAGTGCAGTTTCCCATCAGTCTGCTTCGTAATGACTATAAACAAAGCTCAAAGTCAAACTCTAGGGACCTCTGCTTAAACTCCCATGAGTGCACAGAGGTACGCAGGTAACCGCGTGTGATGCTTATAGCAATTTTCGATAGGTACAGAACCCCGTACATACGTCATACATATTATAGAAAGAAAACACCCAGACCAATACAAACAAATATGTTTCTGCAATTTTAGTATGATATTTTTATTTATTAATAAACAAAGAGACTGAACAAAATTGATGCGTACCTATACTGATTAATGTTATTAACCACATGCAAAGCTTCGTGAATTGCAACAACTATAATTAAATTTATTATCCAAGCTCTAAATAATCGCTACTAAGAGTAACTTGTCATAAAAAAAAATTCCAATCGCTCAAGCTCCCAAGGGCCTACCGATAGGTCGGGTGACGTAATCTTGAAATTCTTTAAGCCGGCGCAGAACTTCCAGAAGGTCGGGCGACGCCACGGCCACTTTGAACAGTGTTTACTTCTGCAGTTATATTTTATATTTATTCGATTCTAGAATATATTCCCAAAAAGTCTGAAAGGTGTTTTAATTTGTATCACTTGGATATGATTTCTATTAGAAAGTGTTGTGAGTATGACGCTTGAAGGGAAGGAAGTCAACCTAACCGAACCAACTGCGTATTTCTATACTGTGTAGCTGGAAATTGTGGCGGGAGCTCTTTGACGCGCTGTTTTCGGCGAAAAATTGCGCGCGCAGATTTTGACAGCGCGAAATACCTACTTTAGAAGAAATACCAAGCCTTAATGGAAATCATTGGGAGAGGCCTATGTTCAGCAGTGGACGTCCCATGGCTGAAATGATGATGATGATGATACGTTGCAGTGTTATCGACTCTATCTATCGCTGTCGCTCATGCCAGGCAAGAGTGAGAGGAATAGATTCAAATGTTGATAAAGTTAGGAAGCAGCGTCACTTTTCCGGCGGAACTGAATGCATTAGGGCTATCGTATTCAATCATATTTGCCCTTACTAGTTGGCGCCACTGCAGCAAGGTGGAGTGTGGAGTAAGGTCCTGTCACTCGCTATAATGGCGTGAACTGGCAAGCGCAAATACGATATGATACCCCAGACCACTCATTATTTCAGGAGCCGAGGGAGGCGTTTCAGCCAAATGACGTCCACTGCAGAACATAAGTATCCCTCAAGGATTTCCACATCGACTGGTCCTGCGCTGCCCGCAACAAAGTACTTGCCGCGACCTGCACCAAATCGTCGGTCCACCCACACTAGGGAGGGACTGGAAGAGTCAATGTGTGATAGTAATAGTTCAAATTATACATATTTTTGCACATGTGCCGATACGAGTACCGTCATGCATGCAGACACCTATGATACAGAGCGCACAGTTCGCGATTCAACTTTGCCATCTAATATTTCTACAAGACGGCTTTCAAAATTCAGACATCCTTTATGCCCCAATTTATTCAGTCCCGCGGGACACATCGTTTCCTGATTATGACAAGGGCTACTTATGTAATCATGATTAAATGGCTTCGGCTATTGGACCACAAGTAAATACCGCCATTGTGCGTAATATTTTATTGCAGTAAATGTTACTATCCATTTCCAGATGTCTAATAGAGATAAGTAGCTTTTTATTGTGTATCATTTGTACTATGGGGACAATATGGGCCAGACAATGATGATTTTCTGTGCTAGATAGTTTTCGACCTTGGTCCTCGGTACTTACATTATTTGCTACAAAACAGGTATAAATGAAAATACAAATAAAGTTTATTAACCATTTTTTTAAGAGTAGACCATTAGTAATTTGTGAGAGTGAGTTCTCCACAAAATAGTCTAGCAGTTGACGGGTTGATCGAACTAGTGACCCTCGAATCGGCGCTTCAGCTTCAGCGCTTCAATAGTGAAATCCACCGTTGTTGGGCAGTGTCAGTTACTTTATTTTTATTGTCGCCCCAATAAAACGAATAGTGTTGCTATGTTGAGTCACAAATGGGAGGTGGCTCAGATAAATGTTTGCTAAATGCTAATGGAGCAAAGTACGAACATGTTATTCATCTGTTCCAACCCAGAACGGATGTATAATAGAGGAATTAACGACTCTATGGGTGTATAGCTACGGGCACAAGTCCACAAAAGTCATATTACCAGAACTTTGTTTCTTATTATGTGTATGATGAATGAATAATATCAGCAATTTCATACGGCTACTCCTTTTAATGATGAAAGATGTCTCTTGTGAGTTTCATTGATGAGTTTAAGCCCTTATCAGAGTTCTTATCGACATTTTCGCATACAGCTCGAGTGTTTATTGTTGCTGCTACCTACGTAAATAAGATATTGGCTGTTCAACGTGCATTTATCTCGCCAATAGCGTTTGTGTGCCGAGGTTTTATATGAGTAGCCTGTTACTCTATCTTATCGGCTGTCAAAATCGATCCCAACTGGATCTTTTTTGAAATTTCGATCGATACTCGTATACTTAATCATTGTTTGTCTAACGCGCACGACTGCAATTTTAGATTGGGGCTCAAAGCGACGCATGTTTTTTTACTGTTGTAAAATCCTATAAAAATAACAAATGAACATCACTAACTAACCGATAACTTCCCCTCTTTTAGGCAATACGGCGCATTTAGACAAAGGGTTCGAAGGCAGCACAAGTAGCCCGGGAGGCATCGCGCTTGCGCTCTACTCAGGCCTGTGGGCGTACGATGGATGGAACAGCGTCACCGTCGTGACTGAGGAGATTATCAACCCTGGAGTGTAAGTGCCAATGTTTATCACCTTCTTCTACATAACAGCGCCTTGGGTTGGCCATAGGGTTGGAAGGCAGCATAGCAGCCCAGGAGGCATCGCGCTCGCGCTGTACTCAGGACTGTGGGCGTACGATGGATGGAACAGCGTCACCGTCGTCACTGAGGAGATCATCAACCCTGGAGTGTAAGTGCCAATGTTTATCACCTTCTTTTAGATAACACAGCGCCTTGGATTGGCCATGGGGTTCGAAGGCAGCATAGCAGCCCGGGAGGCATCGCGCTCGCGCTCTACTCAGTATGCTTACCATGAGTTTACGTTAGATGTGCTCGCTAGCGACTACGTAAAAAAATGACATTAAATGTATGACATATTGTGAAGCGCCTCTAGCGACTACTTTCAAGAAATAAAATCTTCATAGATTTTTTTGACGTATTCGCTAGCGAGCACACCTAACGTAAACTCATAGTAAGCACACTGGACTGTGGGCGTACGATGGATGGAACAACATCACCGTCGTGACTGAGGAGATTATCAACCCTGGAGTGTAAGTGCCAATAATAGTTATATCTCCTCTTCAAGCTTCGCTTCAGCAAAATGACGCCCACTGCTGGAGAAAGGCCTAGACAAGGATTCCCATAACGACCACCGGTCCTGCGCTGCCCGCGACCTTCACCGGTCCACCTAATGGGGGGCTTGCCCACGTACGTCCTCCGGCCTGGTCGAGAACTTTTCTGCCCTAGCGGCCATACCTATATGCCCCGCCCACTTATTGCGTATTTGGACAATGATAGCGATGGAAGCACGATTTTCGAAGGATCGCGCTCTACGAGTGAATAACGGGACTATATCCACCATTACTTTGCACTGCTGCAACTCCTGTATAGCCAGAATCTACAGCTAAAACCCAACCAATGAAGGCCAAGTTTGTCCCGGGGAAATTAAACTATCATTTTGGACCCGCAACGAAACACACACAGAATAGACAATACGAGTAGTATAAGTAGCTCTACCACAAATTACTAAATACCTAGTTTGTACAGACTGTCTGGTGCAGTCCGATAGGCCGTCTCCCACTGCTGATTTCACTTGGTCGGTTCAGCGCATTGGTGACCTGCCACGCGATCGGGTTCCTTCGACTTTTCCTTGGACGACCAGTCGTTCTATGGAGTTGTCATCCCGCCTCGAGACATGTCCGAAGTATTGCCAATTAAGTCTGCCAATAGAGAATGGAGGGAGATCGTGCGGAGAGTTGTATCCGCCTCTACAACCGATGTGAACAACGCCTCAACGTGACCACGACCGCTCTGCCAAGAGCGTAACTAATAAGAAGAGGAAGAAGTTTGTATAGATTTATTTAACAGTTACTAGTTTTACTCCAAGCTTTATGCTTGCGATGAATAAAACTGAGTTGTTCGTTAATCTTGATCAAAGACAAAATCAACCTTAAGTAGAAGTGTGGGAGCCCAGTAATTTTGAGGGAGAAGCAAATATTTGAGGCATGAGTCATTTCTGAATGACTATGCATGGGAATAAAGGGGTCAAAGGCAGTAAAACAAAGTCATAATTATGAAGTTTTAATTGTATGATTGTATATACAAATATGTGCCTACATTATATTGATGAATTCATGTTGGTTTACTCAATTGCAGTGCGTTATCAATAAGCTACCGTCTCGCGTCTTCAAATTGGCTTATCGACTTAAACAATCTTTGTCGGCAACCACTATCATTGTTGTTCAATTTAATTTAGATTCCATTTACCGCTCTCTATTTGAGTGAACTATCGCACAAATACTAGATCAATACCAATACTATTTGCCGACCTTCGGCCTTCTTCAGACCTACTGATACAGATAACAGCTGGATAAGTGATTCGCGCTAATGGAAAACACACACGATTATGTAGATACGTATTACTTACTATAGTCGTTGGGAGAAAGGTCGCACGCAACCAAGGATTTTTTTATTGTTTGAGTGTATTACTTACATAATTAATTACTTTAGCGGAATATTCGTGAATCATGATTTCAATTAAAAAGTCTACTAATTTAGGTGGAAATACCTATTCACATTGTAACCTAGTATTTTATAGAGCCTGTTTTACCACTTGCTGATACGGCCCCTAATAGCCTAGCCTAGCCTTGAACCATAGGCTCTGGACTGGACATTGATGTCCAGACTGGACATCAATGTTTTAAATATCCGTAACACAGACATTTGGTCTCAAATTTTCAACCCCCTAAGACCTGCTGTCTCCACTGCTCTATTCAGGCTGATTGCATTCCAATCGCTCTACCGCTGTCGATTCGAACCTACAGTCGACAGCACATCAAGCTATCTATTTTCGTTGCAAAGTCGCCCCTATCGCAAACTACGTAAGAGACCACAGTGTTTACGTTGACGTGCTGTCGACTGTAGGTACATTATTAACAAGCACATTATTTTCATTACAGCAACGTCCCTCTCAGCATTTCCATCGCAGTACCACTCATCACAGCTCTGTACGTGTTCATGAACGTGGCCTATATGACTGTGCTGAGCTACGCGGAGATGACGTCAGTCCCAGCTGTGGCCGTGGCCTTCGGAACCAGGGTGCTCGGACCTGCCAGCTTCCTGATACCCCTCGGTGTTGCCATCGCTACTTTCGGGTGTGCCATGAGCGTGCAGTTCGGTGTTACCAGGTGAGAAAATTACACTTTTACCAAACATTGGGCTGGGCTCAGTGGTTTTAGAATTTCAATTTTAGTTTTTTTCGACCAGATGGTACTTACATCTTTACATTCTTTAGTCACTAATATAGCTAGTTGTTATGAATGAACTGGCACTAAGTAGGTACAGTTCGAAATAGCAAACTGTGCAAATATTTCACTCAAAATCAAATAACAAATGAGGTCAATTGCAAAGTCAGCTGTACAGTCACCGTCAAGTAGTTCGTGACACCCAAATTAGCCAAAAAGTTGGCAGCACATCTTTGTTACAATGGGAATAAGGGTGTGTTTTCAACTTTTTGGCCACTTTGGGTGTCACGAACTATTTGACGCTGACTGTACTAATAGGCTATAGTCTTTTTCACCTAAGATGATCCGTATGACGTTTTGAGTTTGAAAGATTTAGAGATGTCACATAACTAAACCATAGCGATTTATCTATCGATTTTTTTCGAAGAGTTAGTAAAACCTACTTTTAGAGAAATATTTTGTATAGGTGTTATTTAACAAAAAACATGTTTTTTTTAATTACAAATATTATTGTAACAATTTTTTATTGATAATATTCAAATTTCATGGTTTGTGTTCAAAAAAACGATTCCTAAAAAGTACTGGTTCTGTTTCTTTAAATTAAAAACTATTAATTTATTTTCAATGCGTTTATTAAAGTCAATAATCGAAAAATATAGTTGATTTTTGTGATGTTTTTAATAACTAAGTATTCACTGCAATCGATTAATGAACCGCCGAAATAATCGATTTTATCATACAAGAAATACCCCAGCACTAAATCTATTCCGTTTCACACATTGCGTACATTAAATAAAAAATATTTTTACATCGTATTTAATTAAAGTATAATCAATAGACTCAGATTTTACTATATATTTCAAGACAAGTAGTTAATTTATTTTTATTATATTGCTAATAAAATACAAATATTTTTTCAAAAATATTCTGCATATGTAGTATGCGTAATATGGATAACCTTAAAGTGTCATACGGATCATCTTACGTGAAAAAGACTATAGTAAGTCCTTGACCGGTTTTACCTCTCAATGGAGTCATTACAACTTTTTGAGTGTGGCATGCATACTAAATACCATGCAATTTGCATACAACAAAGTAAGAGCATGCCATTTGGTGTTACTAGGTAAAACGTAAAAATACTTATCAATAAAACGTGTGCTATCTGCAATCACTATTTTAAACGCTATCTAAAAATCTAAAGCTAATAGATAGGTCACTATCACGTGTAAGGTCCGTGTGTAATTTATAAAAGCAATTTTGACTAGTATAGGTATAAATAATAAGCACGCACTGTTGGTTTGAAATAAAATTCATTAGGTAGGGTCATTATTGATATCTTAAATGCACCTAAAACTCGAAACGTTCCTCGGAAGGCAATTAACTTAAGCATTTAAATCCACAAAAATATATTTCAGTATTTTTGAACAAAGCGACCTTGTTCGACATTACAATCCAGATGGTTCATGAAGTAAGTAGTTTGTTAATCTTCACAAATAAGATAACGACATAATAATATAAGTACGAGACGTTTACAAAAAAGGAAAGATGGAATCAACTTTGCAAATAACGCGATAAAATATTTTTTAAATAAAGCCATAGAAAAACTCTACGATGAATTATAATCTTGTTATCAAATTTTGCAAGAACTTATTGACATTTTGATTAGAATTTGATATAGTACACTTTACACTACAGAAGGAGTACAATTTGTTCTTAGTATGTCTTGTATTTTAAACTAGCTGTGCTTGCGACTTCGTACGCGTGAAAATAGTTTGATTGATATTTCCCGTTTTTGCAACATTTGTCTTTACTACTCCGCCCTTACTGGCTATAGGGAGATGTTATATCCATAAATGGGATATCCAACACAAAAAGATTTTTTCAAATCGGACCAGCAGTTCCTGAGATTAGCGCGTTCAACCAAAGAAAGAAACAAAACTCTTCAATCAAATCAAATCAGCTTTCTAATATTAGTTCGTTCGTTCGTTTCAGCCGAAAGACGTCCACTGCTGGACAAAGGCCTCCCCCAAGGATTTCCACAAAGACCGGTCCTGCGCCGCTCGCATCCAGGCATCACATATCATATAATATTAGTATACATAGTAGCATCATACAGGCATTTGATAGCATCGCACTCTTGTACGAGCATTAATTATGGCACATGCCCACGTTCAACTTTGATTATAAATGATCCTTATCGACACACGTTGCCTCATTATGAGGCGGCTCTAAGCTAATAAGCAACTTAGTAATTACTTAATTAAATTAGTGTAGCTATAAAATCTATTAAATCACGTCGATATCAGTCAATTGCACGTTTATCTCTTTTGTAAATGAAGTTGGAGAAAGTAGTTAACGATAACACACTGACTCTCAATGCAATCTAGATAACACCACGTTAAATCCACGTGGATTTTTATTTGATATTAATTTTTATTTTTTTTTCAAAATTTTACACAGCATCTTTCTATAACAGTGACTGAGTTTCTTGCGCTGCTTCTTCTCAGCACTGGTCCATTTTTTATCCCGAAGCAGTGGTAGAGTTAATATTGGGACGTGTAAAATAACTTCCTATAAGCCTAGTTGCAAAATAAATAAATGAATTAGAATATCAGGTTCAGGTTTTACTTGACACTATTTGTTCACTAAAACAAAATAAATCAAATCTAAATATTCTTTTGTCTCCAAACCAACGAGAACATGCATTAAGTAAGTATTCTTATCTCCAATTTTGAGCTGTAAGCCATTAGATATAGCTAATCACCTGGGTAAATGATATGTGTACTAAAAGATCATTGATGCTTTGTTTTGTTTCTTTTCATTACCACATGAGTTATTGACTATTGTTACATAAATAACTTTTAAACATTTACAAGGTTATCTCCATTCGGCTACGGAACTAAGTATGTACTCCGCGTAAAATTTATATTGAGTAAAAATACCGATGAAAATCTCTGAGTCTAAACGATATTTCTCAAAAGATTGAGTACCTAATGGTAGATATCGTTCGTTCGTTTCAGCTAAATGACGTCCACTGCTTGACAAAGGCCTCCCCCAAGGTTTTCCACAATGAACGGTCCTGACTCCTGCGCTGCCCGATCTTTACCAGATCGGCGGTCCACCTAGTAGGAGGCCTGCCCGCGTTACGTCTTTCACCCCGTGGTCGCCACTCGAGAACTTTTCTGCCCCAACGGCCCTCGTCTCTACGAGCTATGTGTCCCGCCTACTGCCACTTGATTTTAGCAATTCTGCGAGCATTCTGCAATGGTTGTTATGATTAAGTAATAAAGAGAGTAACGGTAGATTAGCGCGTCCTAGCCGTGTGATCCAACGAAAGTGGAATATAACCACCTCCTCTCTCCCCGTGGATGTCGTAAACGACTAAGAAGCAAATAGGCAAACTTAAGCCTCCCCAACCGGTTAGGGCTGGTTAAGTGTATAGGCTATCGAAGTCTTCATTGCTCTGGTATTTGATAGAGATGCCCTCCTACATGAAACTTGTAAATGACCTAATGATGATACTAGTGTCCCAAAGACGATGCAGCGATGTAACTAGCAAAAAAGTGACTTAACGTAATGGTTATGTGTTTTTTAAATGTAGATAAAGATTTCAAAAACATTTTTAATGGAATACTGTTTCATTATCAGGTCATTAAGGCCCGTTTTCACCATCAATCCCTATTTTTAAGTGACCCCTATGGTAACATAACAGGAATTTTGTTTTCATAGGGGTCACTTAAAAATTGGGGATTGATGGTGAAAACGGGCATTAGTCTCCACTGCAGGAACACGACTCTCTCCCATTTACCAGAATCAAATGGAGGATTTGGTCTACACTCCCTGCCGACCAGACAGGTTGGGGAGTTGTTTTCGACTGTTGTTTAATTGAAACATAATTGTGTTCCAGGGTATGCTACACGGCGGCGCGCGGTGGCCATATGCTGGAAGTGTTTTCCTACGTCAACATGAAGAGGCTGACGCCCGCGCCAGCTGTCGCTTTCCAGGTACTACCATACTAATTCAATAGCTATAGAATAAACTGTAACGACGTACAACCGTAACGAAATCAATCAGAAGAACATAGGAAAAGTTCGAAGTTTAGTTTCGTCGAGTGACTCGACTTCCCTCCAGTACACAGCGGATGACAGACAGGTGACAAAACCAAGTGTCAGTTTAACTTTCCCCCGGGACAAACTTGACCTTCAATGGTTGGGTGTTTATTGGCGATCAAGCAGGAGATCCTAGCTACACAGGAGTTGCAGGTGGGAATGACCATTCCGTAGCTATAGAATAGGGTTCTGTAAACTCTAGTTATAGTTTCGAAAAACTCTATTAACGTAACCAAGAATTGCAATCCTATGACATGCAGCGTAAAAAGTCACTGTGATTTCCAGTTTAGTAACTAATAAAATTATTTCTTTTCCAGGCGTTGCTAACCACGGCATTCATCGTAGTCGGCAACATAAAAACCCTCATAGAATTCGCCAGCTGGTTCCTTTGGTTCTTCTACGGGTTGGCAATGGTCGCTCTACTAGTGCTGCGAAAAACACAAGCGAAGAAACCTCGCCCGTACCGAGTCCCGACGCTAGTGCCGTGCTTCGTGCTACTCGTAGCGATATTCTTATCGATACTTCCGATTGTCCACGACCCGTCGGTAAAATATCTCATGGCAGTCGGGTTTATAGTCCTGGGGGTGCTGGTGTACACCGTGTTTGTGTATCACAAAAAAACGCCGACTGCTTTACTCGGTAAGTTTGATGGCTTATGTAATTTTATTTCGTCTTATTGTCATTAACAATGTTGTGAATAGCATCCTGATTTGTTGCAATAATTTAATTATGTATAGAGTATCGAAATACAAACAGTACAGCAGCTTCAAATAGTTCGTGACACCCAAAGTGGCCAAAAAGTTGGAAAAACCTAAAAACAATTGTAACAAAGCCGTATTGCGAACTTTTTGGCTACTTTGGGTGCCACGAACTATTTGACGCTGACTGTACATAACTTTGGGAGCACACAGATGATGCGTTATCACTGTTAGAGCAGTTTATCAGATAAACAAAGCAAAATCTTCAATTTGTTGCTTTAACTAATTTTTCCTACTCTGTTCACAGAAAAATTCACATTCCTAACACAAGTTCTGTTCGAGAGCGTCCCGCCGAGCAATCGTCAAGACTGATCACTATTGTTTTAAGTGCATGTTTGTAAATATTAGTATTAGAATATTAAATAAAGGACATATTTTAGTAAATTTATCTTCCTTTTATTACCGACCTGTGCCGAGTAAATAGTTGATAATACCACAGATAATATAATACTAATAATACCAATAGTTGAATAGCAAGTCAAAAACTGCTAGGGGATATTAATATTACCCACAAAATACACGTGGGTAGTCGTCCCACTTACGTTTCTCTGTCTCTGGGGACTTCATGCATAAAAATAAATGTTAACAAAGCAAGTAGCTTTGGAAGAATAGGCATTTCTCCCATTTCAGCTAACCAGTAACAAACGAACGCCTTGCCTAGTGGCTTCGTTACTCAAATATAAAAACAGGGCAAATTATTAGTTGGCAAATGATAGGTAAACCTCTACTAATTTATCGCGAACCCAAGGCGAGAACTATTTGAAAAAAAAACTATGCTAGGTATGTTCGATTTTGATTTCTTAATTATTCGATTAATTCAGGTTAAAGTGAATTTAATTTATCGATTAGTGTATATGTTACGGTCAAAGTGATAAATGTGAAAATTATGAATAATCGCCGGTTATTATGAATAATTACCGCATGATTTGGTAAATGTGATTAATATGAGGTCATTTATGTGTGTATAAAACTAAATAGGCGGCTTAGGGGTGGCCCAAGGGCCCCCCCCGCCGCACCTTAACCTATTTTTTACTTTAAATCAAAACATTATGTTATAGGCATCATGGAAAAGTAATATTATGCAAGAAACATTCCAAACTCATTATGCCAAATTATATTAATACTAGCGGCCGCCCGCGACTTCGTACGCGTGAATCCCGTTTTTCCCGCTAATTCCCGTTCCCGTGGGAATTTCGGGAATTCCTTTCTTAGTGCACCTCTATGGTACCTAAGCTACGTCCCTTCCAAATTTCAAGTGCCTACGTTTAGCCGTTTAGGCTGTGCGTTGATCTGTCAGTCAGTCAGTCAGTTTCTCCTTTTATAATATATTTAGATATGATATCAAAACGTTCAAAAGTTTGGCTGTACACGAGCACGTACACAAGATGTTGTTCTCTTTTATGAAATTTTGTTAGTACTAAGGTTGAATTATTAAATAATCACTGTTAAATGTGATTAATTTATCACTTTCACCGCGACTGTCGGGAATTATTCATAATAACCGGTTATTATTAATAATTTTCAATTTATCACATTAACCGTAACATATACATAGAAAATATGCGAAAAAATAAAAGCTTAGGTCTTCATACCATAATCGAACGTCTACAATTAAATAAGTCACGCGGATCTAACATGTAAGATGCTAGTACACACAAAATACTTAAATCAAGTAACAATTTTATTAGTTATTGTGTTTAAAAAATATGTTTCATTGAAAAGATGAAAATAATCTAAAATCAGTTTAATATCAATCAATCGATTGTATTTCATTCGGTTGCAGAAAATCTTTATTTGAAAAAATCGAGACTAAATTGAAGTTCACGAAATCGAGTTGTCACGTTAACGACTTTACGTTACAACGACTTGAACAACACTACTTTATTTCAAACAAGGCCGCTCGGGTTGTGTTGTTGAATTTTACGAAATAATATTGATGAATTTCTTGAATTGTAGTGATTGAAAGTGTAAATTACCATCATGGCTTATCATTACGTGGTTACTGCGCAGAAACCAACAGCTGTAATATCATGCGTAACAGGTAAGACGTGAAATTCATTGCCGTTTCTCTTCATTGAGGTTAACTACAATATTATAGCGCATCAAGCTATCTTCGCTTTGTATTGATATTCTATTTAGATATTTAGCTTAGTTTGTTTGGATTTATCCTGTCTCTTATAATAACGATCGATATATCGAATTAAACTGTCTGAAATGGACTTAGAACCGGCGCAATGGCCCGCCAAGCAATGTGTTTGTGTCGTAGAAAATTCCATTTGTATCCTACATTCCCACTCTACATGACCTGAAAATGCAGACAACATGAATTAAGGCAGAGTAGAAATACAAAAATCCTTCTTGGTTACTCTCAGGTTCATTAGTCTACAGTAAATACGTGCTCATTTCATTAGTCAGCTTTTTTGCGACTTAGCTCTGATAAATTTTGTTGTAAACTTATTATTCAAATGTTATTGCATGATTTTACAACAATATCTTAGACATTAAATCAATCGAATGAGCTACCAAGGCATCAAAATTTCATTGGCTATTTCAAATCTTCTAGGCAACTTCACATCTCCAACGGATCTCAATCTACTAGTCGCGAAGGTGACCCGCCTGGAGATGTATCTGGTGACCCCGGAGGGCCTGCGCCCCATGAAGGAAGTGGGGCTGTATGGGAGAGTTGCCAAAATGAAGATGTTCAGGCCTCCTGTGAGTCTTACATCCTTGTAACATCGCAATTATGATATTTTTTTAAAGTACAGTAGAATCTCTATTATCCGGACTTCGATTACCCAGATATCCGATTATCCGGACTCATTCTTCACAGTTTCTAATTGCCGATTTATGGTTTGGACCCATAAAAACAGAAGGGCAGCCACCATAACGAGGTATAGACTTCATCTTAGTTCATTGTTAAAAGAATTGGATTCATTTAATGGTCTAAAATTTAGATTTTTAGACTCTAAATAATTTAAAAACCTTTTCTATTGTAAAAAGTTAAATATTGTTTGATTTTACTTTGAAATCGATTATCCGGAACACCCCTGGTTTTAATTGATCCGGATAATCGGGATTCTACTGTAATACAAAAAGATTGACAAAATCCACTTAACCTTGCTTCTAGGATGAAAACAAAGACCTGGTATTTATCCTCACTGCTCGCTACAACGCCATGATATTAGAATGGAAAATGGGGCCCAATGATCAGCTGGAAGTAATCACACGTGCCCACGGAGACGTGTCCAGTCGTGTTGGCAAGCCTTCTGAGAACGGCATGCTTGCAGTCATAGATCCCCAAGCGAGGGTCATTGGTCTGCGTCTTTATGATGGTTTATTTAAGATTATACCTTTAGATAAGGATTCTACAGAACTAAAAGCTGTATCATTAAGGTAATACAACCTTTCAGTAGCATATTTACAGTTATAGAACAATTTGTGCTAATTTTATATTGTGATGTGTCTAAAATGAATTAAAACAAAAATATTTCAGGTTGGAAGAACTGAATGTGTTTGATGTTGAATTTATGCATGGCTGTGCCAACCCTACATTAATCTTAATTCACCAAGACCTCAATGGTCGACATATAAAGGTAAAAACTATTTACATAACTTACATACAAGTTTACATACCTCTGACCAGAAAATTAAGCAACTTTCATACATTTTCAGACACATGAACTGAATGTAAGAGATAAGGAGTTCTGCAAAATACCTTGGAAGCAAGACAATGTGGAGACAGAAGCCTCTATACTCATACCTGTTCCTAGTCCTCTTGGTAAGTAAACTAAAAGTGAAAAATCATACATATAGGGCCTTGAAATGTTGCCATATTAAAAGGACAAAGTTGATATTATATTGTCTGCACTTGACAATGTTTATAAATAATTTATTTTCTAGGTGGTGCCATTGTAATTGGGCAAGAATCAATAGTATATCATGATGGACAAAACTATGTAGCTGTAGCTCCACCTCAGATAAAGGTATCTTATACTTTGTATTGAATCTGACCATATCCAAGGCTAATATTTATTTATTACTTCTTAGGCTGTTGCACCATCTTACGTCAAAAATCTGTCTAACTCCATACAAAAACACCGGTTATTGTTAATTATCATCAGCCAAAGGACATCCACTGCTGAACATAGCATATTTACTTGTTGTTGTTATTGTTAAAGTTACATCTATACTAATATTATAAATGCGAAAGTAACTATGACTGTCTTTCTTGCTTTTACGCCTAAACCACTGAACCGATTTTGATGAAATTTGGCATAGAGATAATTTGGAGTCTCGGGAAAGGACATAGGATAGTTTTTATCCCAGTTTTTGAAACAGGGACGCACGTAATAAAGTTTTTCTGTGACAGACAAAATTCAACGCGGGCGAAGCCGCGGGCGGAAAGCTAGTTGTAAAATAAGTTGGTGCAACTCATCCTATGTTGTGCACAGTACATCTTCTTATTCGTACATCTTACTTAAACACTAATATGAAAATATTAAAGTACGTAGTCTACACATACATATTTCATGTTGTGCATAGTTCATCTCATTTTAACTCCTTATATGCCACTGTTGAGGTCTCAGGTAAACATGTTTTCCCAGCTCACCCCAATAAACTGCTACTGCCGCGTGGACACCCCGGGCCACAGGTATTTGCTGGGAGACATCGCTGGCAGGCTCTTCATGCTGCTTCTGGAGCTGCAAGAGAAGATGGACGGCACGCAGACTGTCAAGGATCTGAAGGTGGAACTACTTGGTGAGAAACTTAGATCTCTACATACTGTAAAACAAAGTTGCCCTGTCAGTGGGCTTATGTTTTTAACTTTTTTATATTGTAAATTGGTTAAAATATGACACAATATTGCATCCGCGTGAAATCGTTGTGGATCGCCAAGCTTATATTCAGAGCTTAAGAAGAGAGTAGTATTTGACAGCCAAAAAACTAGACGCATTATATCTATTATTCAAGGCTCACTGGTGAAATAATACATTTTTAACACATATATTAGACAATGTGTTAAAAAAATGTATTATTTTGTGTCTTACAAGTTTTCTCTTACAGAACATTTTACATTTTTCCAATTGCTTATTTGTTTTTTGGAGTTACGTGTCGCCTATTCTATGCAAATACACTACAATTTAACAATTAATGCCTACATTGATAGATAAAGTCAAAATATCACTCGGCATAATATAGTAGACATTTCTGTGAACAAAATTGTTTCGTTTTTTTATGTCAAAATAGAAGAAACATGAAATATGTAGTGTGCTCAATATTATGAGTATGTTACTTCATAGACAGTGATGCATATGAAAATGTAAAGCCAGGTAGTGGGCATTGTAAAGCGCCCTCTAGCTTCGTTTCACCCAAATGACGTTCCCTG